TTCAAAAAAAAAAATTTTGAATGATAATAATATTAATTGACAAATCCCATCATACCGAATGCAAGCCTTCAGCCATTCATTCATTCATTCAGTCATTCAGTCATTCATTCACCAATTTTTTATTTATTAATTATATTTCCCGAATACCACCAACAAAAAAATTTCATTTAAAATTATTATTATTATTATTATAATTATTATTATTATTTTATATGTAAATAAAATCCACAACCTCATTATTATTATTATTATTATTTGTTTTATGATAATAATAATAAAAACTCACCTAATTTGATTTGAGACAATTCAACTTTATCCGATATTATCGATACGGATGGTTTAAAATCGACGTCATCAATTCCATTATTCAATGATTTTTTTATTTTATTTTTTTTTCCCGACATTTTTTTTTAAATTTTTTTTTTTTATAAAATTTTTCTTTTACTTTAACTCGTTACGCACATTATAAAAAAATATATTATTATTATTATTATTATTATTACGTAAATAAGATATTAATTAATTTTTTTTTTCTCTTTCGAAATTAAATTGTTTTTATAAATAATTAATGAATTGATTGATTGATTTTCTTTTCTTTTAGGCACTTAACACGGTAGGTAGGTACACTCTTTGAAAACTGTTTTACTGGAGAAAAAAAAAAAAAAAAAAAAAAAAATTTTAGAACTTCGCCATAATTCAAATTTCACAAAAAAAAAAAAAAAAAGGATTTGACTCCGAATTTAAATTAAAATAAAACAAAAAACAATAAAACAATAAAGTACGAAGAAATCGAAAAGAAAAATCATTTGAACTCCGGTTTTTTAAATAAATAAAAATAATAATAATAATAATAATAATAATAATCCAATTTTTTCGAAGAATTTTATACAAAATTTCGGGTAAATAAATTTTCCTGGAAAAACTATTAAAAAAAAAAAATAAAATAAATCACAACGAAAACTAAAAAAAAAAAAAAAAAAAAAAAATTAAGTTAACGAAACAACGACATTACTCATTATTATTATTATTATTATTATTATTATTATTATTATTATTATTATTATTATTATTATTATTATTATTATTATTATTATTACTTTCAACCGTCACAAAAAGAAAAAAATTAAATAATAATAATTTTAAATAAGGACATACGCGTTTGTGTTTGTGTGCGCGTATGTGTGCGTGTTTGTGCGTATGCGTGTGTGTGTGTGTGTGCGTGTGCTATAATCATCAAGCAGTTTTAACTAATTATAAAATTAATTATATTTTTTTTTTTTTTTTTTTTTTTAATATCATGGGAAAAAAAAAAAAAAAATTTATTTTCCCGTAATTAAAGTATTATTATTATTATTATTATTATTATTATTATTATTTATATTATTATTA